CACTGCCAGCTTTGCCCCATTCCCCCTAGTCCTGTCACTACCTGAGAGCCTAAAAATTCCCTCCCCATCTTTCTCGTAGGCGCCCCTAAGATCCTGCAAGGCCACAATAAAGTCACCTCGGAGCCTTCTCTTCTCCAGCCCCCCATTTTCTCCTCCCCATCCCGGACGCGGCGCTTTGTCATCATCAGCACGAGCTTCCACCACGACAACCTTTGGGTGGAAAAGGTCCGTGGCCGAGCCCCCGGGCCGGCTCTCACCTGGTTGCGGTCCAAGCCCTTGGCCACCTTGGCGTTGTGGTCGCAGAGGTCGGGCAGGGGCCTGCCAGCCAGGGCGTACTGCTTGGCAGTGTGCACGAACCAGTCCATGCCCCCGCCCTCCACGTCGGTCTCGAAGACGCTGAGGGCGCTGGAGGAGGAGATGAACTCAAACTGCTCCGTGGGGTCCAGCTTGCGCTTGAAGAAGATGGGGTGGCGCCGGTCGCCCACGTAGGGCTTGCGGTTGGAGTCGGAGGAGACCAGGCTCTCCTTGGCAGCAAAGGCCAGGTCTCCGTAGAGGCTGTAGCACAACCCCTCGGGGTTGGCCCTGTCGATGGGCTGGCTGGCGTCCTTGAAGATGTGCTGGTAAAGGGTGCTGTCCTTAGAGCCCGACAGGAGGAAATAAGGGTCGTGGAGGTGGCGCCAAACGATGCCCGTGGTGACGTCCTTGTGCTCCTCGAACATGGCAGAGGGGATGAAGGGTCGTCGCACGTCCCAGACGTAGATGTTGTGGTCCACCATCATGGAGCAGGTGGCCAGGTGGTGCTTGCACTCCGGGCGCCACTTCACCCGCGCCACCGAGGCGATGGTCTGCACGCAGTAGATCTCCTTGGCCCGCGTGGTGTTCATGTCCCACACCTTCACCATCTTGTCCCGCCCGCCCGTGGCCAGCCAGCCCCTGAAGGAGAGGTGGTGGGACACCAACGTGGGCCAGGAGCCCTGCCCGTTCACCTGCCACCATCCCAGCTTGGCAGGGATGGGGTTGTGTCCAGTCACGGCCTCCCACACCCCGCCCCGGAGCCTCCGCTCCCCGACAACCAGGTCGGGCAGCACCCTCCCTCTTGCCCCTGCTCACAGCCTTGTGTCTTCAGAGACACGTGTCTCAGGAGGGCTCCCAGTCACACCAGTTCCCTCCACCTCTGGCTTCCACTTGCCAGGGACAGCAGAAAGGAAAAAAGGCTGGTTTGAGTGTATTGCAGGGGGGCCTACCAGTCCCGCCAGTTCCCCCCACCTCTGGCTTCCACTTGCCAGGGACAGCAGAAAGGAAAAAGGCTGGTTTGAGTGTATTGCAGTGTCTCACTCAGCTCATGAGGAGGGACCCGCACGCCCCAGCAGCTGGTCCCAGGCACACCCCAACTGCCCCCAGGGAGAGGAAGGAAGGAAATGGGAGCAAACACAAGCCAACAGTGACCAAACACAAGCTGTGTGGGGGACAAGGTGGCAGCTGCCTACAGCCCACCCCTGTAGTGCTCCAGGCTGGGGCAGAGTGGCT